GGTTGCCAACTAGTCTTGCATATCTCGAGCTTGATGAGTATGTGCCATTGGAGTTGAATTTCCACTTTCCACGAATCTCTTTCTCCTTGTAGCAGCATTACGTTCTGTAGGATGTTGTCAAGCTCCTTTGTTTTTTCTTGTTCCCATGTGTAGAGTTCTCGGTTCCACTGAAGGTTCCACTTCCATATTCCTTTCTACCAACATCCCATTTGGTTTAGCTTGTTATTTTTACCTGTAGAGATCAAAAATAATCTTGGAAATATGTTAGCCAACTCTCCAACATCCCTCCACTTGTCCCTCTAGGAGCTCACCTACCTCCCTCACCTACTATGAAATCAAATCCTTCAGATATCCATCTACTTCTATTTTGATCAACTACATCTATTCTACACACATCTTGCCACCATCTCGATCCTTTCCCCCTGCCCTCTCTTACCCAATTTTCCCAATTTTCATCTCTACCACCATATTTTTCCTTGATAATCGATAACCATAGACTCTCTATTTTTTGCCAATTTACCCCACCAGTTACCAAGTAAGGCTAGATTAAACCATCTAAGGTCTTTAATGCCTAACCCCCCCCTCTTCTTTTTTGCTTTAACAAACCTTCATCCAATTAACCTAATGAATCTTTTTCCTATCCCCACAGCCCCCTGGTAGAAACTCACTCCTAATTTTATCAATTACTTTTAAAATACCTTTTGGGACAAGGTAGATGGACATAAGGAAAATTGGGAGAGACAAGAGCACAGATCGAAGCAGCGTGATTCGCCCACCGAAGGACAACCATCTTCCTTGCCAAGTATTCAATTTTTTCCAAAAGACCTCTATCAATGGTTGCCACATTTGCCATTTTCTTTGATTTCCTCCAACCATCACCCCAAGATATTTAAATGGCAAGTCACCGGTCTTACAATGCAGCAAACATGCCATTTTATTTAACCAATCCTCCTCGAAATGTATTCCTATTAACTGGCTTTCGAGAAAATTGATTTTGAGACATGAAACAATCTCAAATAGCCTCATGATACACTTTGCAGTCCATATGTTCTTCTTTATAGCTTTCCCAAACAAGATGGTATCATCTGCAAATTGTATATGAGAGAAACTCATTCCATTCTGCCCTACCTCAATACCTTCAAATAGCCCATTATCAATTGTTGACTTTATAATTCTGTTAAGGCCTTCAAAAACAACGAAGAACAAGAATGGTGACAATGGGTCACCTTGTTTTAAGCCTTTGGATACCCCAAATTGTTTGGAAGGGCTCCCATTAACCAGAACTGACAGTAAGCTTGTTTTCAAACATTTGGTGATCCATCCTCTCCACTTGCTTCCAAACCCGAGTCTCCTTAGCATGTAGTCTAAGAAACTCCAACAAACCTTGTCATATGCTTTCTTGAAATCAACTTTCAACACAAAACTGTCTCTCTTTTCCTTTTTGGCTTCATCAATGATCTCATTTGCCAAAACCACTCCTTCGGAGAGCTGTCTTCCTTCCAAGAATGCCATCTACTGTGTGCCTATCACCTCGGGGAGCACCACTCTAATTCTGTTGGCCAGGATATTGGCAAGGATTTTGTACATTGCCCCAATCAATGATATTGGCCTATATTCTTCAATTTTTTGAGGGTTATGGACCTTTGGAATTAAGGCAATAAAGGAGACATTTGCACCGGTAATCAATTTCCCATTCTTTTGGAACTCCTGAGTAAACCCGATCACATCCTCCTTAATCTCTTGCCAAAACTCCTTGAACAATCTAAAGTTAAACCCATCTGGATCTAGAGATTTGTCATAGTTGCACTCCAAAACCGCTGCTCTTATTTCTTCTTCGCCAAAACGGCCTAATTAGTGCATCATTTTGTTCCTCGAAGATTTGCTTGAATGTCATGCCATCCAAAACTGGTCTTTGCCATTCATCTTCTTTAAATAGTTCTTCAAAATATTTAGCTATTCCATCTATAATTTCCTGAACACCTTTTAGTTGCCTGTCGTTTATCTGCACACTGTTAATGTCCATTTTTTGGTGTCTACTCTGAGTGCTTTGGTGGAAGAATTTTGTGTTTGCATCACCCTCTTTCAGCCACTCTTTCCTTGCCTTCTATTTAAGCATTCCTTCTTTTATTTTCACATTTTCCCACAATTCCTGCATTTTACCCTTCATGTCCATAACTTCCTGCTCTGTGAGTGATCTTGATTCTGCTTTTATATCTAGGTTTGCAATTGCCTCCTTGCTTTCTTGAATCTTCACATCACTATGAGACATTGCCTTCTTACTCCATTCTTTTATTTTAACCTTCATGATCTTCAATTTTTCTTTCAATTAGTACCGTTTCCAACCGGCCGTTTCATTTTCTTTCCATGTGTTCACTACCAACTCCCTGAAACTCGTCTGCTTTAGCCATACATTAAAGCATTTGAATGGTTTGGGACCCTAGTTTATCTTCTCGTTCTTCAAAAGAATTGGGCAGTGATCAGATAAGGATCTTTTAAGGCTCCATTGCTTGACATCTGGCCATTTCATTATCCACTCCTCTGATAATAAAAAGCAATCAAGTCTGCTCATGCAACAACCGTTAGGGTGGTACCAAGTAAATTTTCTCCCATTTAACGGAATATCAACTAGACTTGCTTCCTCAATAAATTCTTCAAACTGCCTCATTTGACTTTGATTATTATTTCTTGCCCTTTCAAATTGGTTCCTTGTAGCATTGAAATCCCTAAGCAAACACCAATTTCCTCTATTTTCATTAATTACAATTGCAACTCCTCCCATAATTGTCTTTTTCCAGCTCCTTCACAAGGACCATACACATTCACAATGCACACAGGTGTTGCATCTGCCCCCCAACGGCCAAAAATTCCTATAAAGTTTGAGTCGCTCACCAATTTACTCATTTTCGGCATTTCTTTATTCCAAATGCATATTAGACCCCCTGATTGCCCATTAGTTGGCTTTGCCACAAAATCAAAATCATCTAAGTCGCACAATAGTTTACACAATTGTCTACACAATTGTCTATCTATCACCTCCATTTTTGATTCCTGGATTGCTAAAAGTTCACTCTTTCCCTACTAACAAGCTCTCTAATTTCTCGTTTCTTCCCCT